GCTGAGCAGTTGCTGAAAGTTGAACTTGGCGACGCTCTGCAAGAGCGGGACATGGAGCAAGAGTATATTGGCAGCACCCTCGATGAGGAATGGGATTTTATCAATCGATTCCGGGCTTAAACCGCATGAATCTCCTTTTGGACCAATGCATAATAATTAGTAGAAAATCACAGTCAGCCAACCTTATTCCTTGTTAACAGCACAAGCGTGCATGGGAAACCAACGACTTCCTTGATAACACGAGAGATATGCTTGAGGCTCGGCAAAACCAGGTGCGTATGCAGCCTTGGCAGCAGATGTATGTGTACAACATTTATACAGAAGATGTGTTGCGGTGGTCTATTTGATTTGCATAAAGTGTTACAAAATCGGTGTAATTTACAGTGGCAGGGGATCGCGATTTCTTGCCGGCGTTGTCAGTGCACATCTTTCAACCGGAGACTCTCATCTGCAGTGATATCTGTGTGCGCTTGCAAGCGAGCTTTGCATTCCTCGTACGTGAACTCAGTCCAAGGCCGTTCTTCGTGATCCAACAATCGTGAAAGGGCCGATGCGGCGAGGATTTGCTTGACTAGCTTCTGGTCCCTGCCAATCACTCTATCTCGTTTGAAACTAAGCTCGCCTTCAAATGGATGCGCCAGTTTCTCCCCAGTCATCGTCACAACCAATTGCACCAGCTCAAAGTCCTCCGGTGCTACAGAAGCAAATTCAGACGGCGATGGATGTGTGAACTTGAAAGTTGCATTTATCAATTTGTCAAAGTGCAGCTGTCCCAGGTAGTCTAGGGAGCTTTGGTCGCTGATGCTTAATTCGGGAGAGACGGTGGATTCTATATTGTAATCGGCCATTCGTTGGGAGAGCTCTTGTTCTGACAGACGGGGTTTCTTGATGATTTCGTAGTCTGGTATTAGCATGCTCTTTAACTCCCGGAACGTCAATTCGAACCATTTCTGACTCTTGCGTGCCAGCAATCTCGTCAGAGCCATGGACGCAAGGTACTGTTTGATTTGCTGTTTGCTTCCTCGCGTCACTTCGCGATCCCGTTGAAACACCAACTCTCTTGAAAAAGTGGAGTTGATGGGTGCATCACCTTTCCTAACGATCAATTCCACGCATTCGAACTCATCGGGGCTGATGGAAGCGAAATCAGTAAAGGACGGTGTAGTAAACTTCCATTCGAGGTCAATCATGTCAGCCTGCTCGAGCTGCGTCAGATAGACAAGAGGTGTGACACCATATCGACTTGCTGGAGGGTGACTTGCGGGGTCGATCTCCATGTTGAACTCTTTTATCCTCTTGTCAAGGTCCTTGTCCGAAAGTCTCTTTGGTTGTTTACGATTTGCACCGATCAGTTCAGCGCCGTTTGATACTTCAGGCCCGGTCTGAATGACGCCATTCGTCGTTTGATTCCACTTTATCAACCCAGCCTGAACTTCCAACAATGTTGATTTGATGTCATTGTCCGATTGAAGAAAAGACTTGAGCTCAAGCATGAAAACGTCGGACCACTCTGCGTCTGTATCTTGCAGCAGCGTGTTCAGAGCCATGGCAGCCAGGTACTCCTTTGCTTGCAGTTCGCTACCTGGTATCACTTGGGTGTCGAACTGAAACACCAATTCCTCTACAGAAGGGGAGTCGATATGAGCATGACCTTTGCGAACAGGTAATGTTAATTCCTCTGCAGAAGGGGAGTTGATGGGAGCATCACCTTTGAAAACAGACAGTGTTAAGCGCTCACACACGTCGGTATCAAAACCAGCGAATCTGGAAGAGGTTGATCTCCAATCCAAGTCAATCATACCTACTTGCTCGAGCTGGGTCAGATGAGCAAGCGGCGATACCGCACTCCTGATCTCGTGAGAATGACGTGAGGAGTCCAACCCCATGTTGGGTTTTACCATCTCATCGTTGACGACTTGGTTGTGCGCTTCTTTCCGTTTCTTCAGAGCCACCTGCGTCGATTGATTGCGATCGGTCGCGTTATCAGTCATCAGGAACAGGCTGCTTGTTGCATGCTTGTCCACATCGTCTACATCGTTTGTATCGTATCGCACTACAGACTTCTGCCCCCATCGATTCGGGAAAGGCATCCAATAGTCAACGTCGAATACGGACCGACCTCCTTTCGAGGACGCCAGCAGATCACCAATACCACAATGGTCAATATCCCCTGAAAGAGAGCGCATCTTTTTACCAGTAAACATCTCGCGCGTATTGTCACACCAAACGCTGCGTTCGCGGGGTTCGGTTGATGCAGCAAACCGAGCCGCTTTGATTCGTCTATTAACAAAAAGCGGCGTGAACTTTTCGATGACAGGTGGAGGTGGTGAGAAGGGTGGGTCCAAAGGTTTGAAGGAGCGGAACACGACAGTCCAGTAGTCTTCACCCAAAACAATGCTCTTTAGGCCGTCATCAGTCCGCGCAATCGTTTTCTTTTTTCCCTTTGCTAGCCTGGCTACCTCTGCCTCGCAGAGAGCGGAAAACTTCTGAATATCAAAGGTGTTGTCGACACGGCTTACGCATTCCGCGTAAAATGCCTCCACTGTGTCACTCGGAATCACAGAGTATGGTTCTGCGATCAAGTTTCCAATTTGAGATGGCAGTGCCGCAAGACACGACACCCCGTTCTTGACTGGAGGTGAGAAAGCAGAAGTGAGGAGTTCATTCTTTCCCACAGAACGACCCTCGTCGACTGCCTGTTGGAAGAAGTTCACCAGGTCTTCCGCTGTTGGCGACAAGCGTTTGCCGTAGTTGTATCCGTAATCTGAGCAAATACCGTCTTGATATGTTTGAAGATTCCAGAGCAATCCGCCAAGGTACAGCTTACAATCACTCGCAACAGGGAAGTTAAGCTCCCAGGAATAACTCGATGTTGTCGGTCCCGAGTTATCGCTAGAACTTTCTAGAAATTCTTCACCCAGCAAATCTTCCAGAGCCCTCTTCGCAAGTTCATTCTTGCAATCTTTGATCTTACTGTCTGTATGATACTTGGCTTCGTAGCAATGATAGTCGGTCGTTCCGGGCTTCCCCAAGGACAATCGGAGTATGGCACGATTCTTCATCCCTTCAATTACGAGGAGCTCGTCATCTTCGTCGTCCTCCCCAAAAACGTCGTCATCCTTGTCAGCCTCGTCAATGATGTCGTCCTCCGTGAAGTCGACAATGTCTTCATCGTCATGCTCATTCTCGTCGACTTCCTCGGAACTATCCACGTCGTCTATACCCTTACCTTCTTCAGATGCATCCTCGTAGATCATCTTCCATCTCATTGGTTTGGGCATAAATTGCGTCGAAACTAAGTTGTTGAGTTGTCCTAACGGAGTAATGGCGGTGAATTGCTGCTCTGCGATGGTGGCAGCCGATTCGAGGGGACGCTCCAACTTTAAGCGTCCAAAGAAATCAATGGCAAAATCAAGATGGAAGGTGAGCGAGTCAGGATCCACCAGAAACAAATCATTCTTGCCTTCCTCCAACCACTCCCGGACGACGTGAATGTAGGCCCGAAAGACCCGGTTAAATCCAGACGAGCCTCGCAATTTGGGAAGATAGTCATTTCCGTTGAGAATCAGAAGTAGAACCATGTCGGTTCGGACCCTCATGATATCTTCAGCCTTGAGTTGTGGAAGCAGTTGCGCTAAATGCCGCGTCGTTTCCCACAAGCTCACCACCAGATATCGTTTTCCCAAACCAGGAAGCAACACAAAGACGTTGTGGGTACAAATACTAGGCGGGATGACCAATCCCTCCAAGACTAGATCCGAATCCCCTCCCATGATCGCCAAAGTCCCTTGCGGTCGCTTGCGAAGGATCCAATCCAATATCTTGACTTCTCCTTCTCCGGGCGAATCCGAGGCCGAAATGTAAATCGCAACTTTGGACAGCGGTCCTTCCTGTGGGATCATGCGCTGCCATGCCCAGTACAACATGGCTTGATTGGCACGCTCCATAAAGTTAGTCCCAGGTGTGATGCGCAATGTCTTTACTTCAGCGTCATAACGCTGTCGCAGTCGCTTCTCCTTGTGCGAGCTCATTTTGAGTTTTTTCGATTTCTGTACATGGGCCAATTGTGCCTGTTTCCAGTCGGCCTTGACCAATGTGGCGAGTCGTCGTTTGCGGGATGTGGCAAGTTTTGCGGCGGATGGTGGTCCATCCATGGCAAGGACCAATGATTTGGTCGGTGTGGCCAGCTCGATGCAGGCATTGAGTTCCTTCATTAATATGGCCAAGGCATGATCATCTGATGTACTGCGTCGTACAGCGACGTGCAAGAGTTGATTAATGTCAATCAAAACGTGATCAAAGAATTCTTGTGATCCCTTCGATGGTATTCCGGTAATAGCATCGGGGAACTGCGATTCGAACCAAGCCCGGAAGCCCTTGATGCCGTACAGTGAAGTTGTGGATACTGGTCCTGTTGGACTCCTTTTGTTAACAAATCGGCCGCTCGAGCTTTTAGTTCTTCCCGAGCTTGAGGCTATGCATAAGTCATTTTTGTGCATCGGAGGGCCTGGTGCGAAGGCATGAGCGAAGGAACAATACAACAATACCAGCAAGCGTGCCGCTGTGCAAGCGCTGACGAGCAACGACGAACGTCGGTAGTGACACTTTCCACCGTCGTCGCGACCTGGATTTGACTGGTCAGGTCGCACTGAAGTCATGCGTTCACCTGACTGAGTCTGCAATGGTATTTGACACAACGTTTATAAACCAGTCTACTGTTTTGGAGCAGCATCCGTGGCGTAGTGAGAACAGATATGCCAATGAATCGGAGTACACCGATTAGAAAATATGGGATGAAGCGGTATTATTTGTGGAAGGGCATCCTTGATGGGCGAGTTTCTTCACACTTCACGCTCGACATAACGGCACACTGCACACTGCACCAATGGACCAGAGGACTGACACCTGAACCTCTTTGGAGAATGAAAAAAATGTTCTTTCGTGTTGATAGAGATCATATATCGCAGGTTTACCTCTTTTGATATCTGAAGGAGAAACAAGCATTCGTGCCCGAGCGGTCCAAGGGGGTGCACTCAAGTTGCACTGTGTTCGCACTCGTGGGTTCAAATCCCACCGAATGCACATCTTTTTGTTTTGGAAGACTTACCAAAATCAGAAAACCGGAACCGTACAGTAGTACTAGTACTGTTACACAAGTTACTGTCTTCTGGTCTATTCCAGTACTCGGAGTCTATCTTCTCTATTTTTTTACTGAATTTGTACACTCTTGACTTTGCACAATGGAGATGCAACGTTCGAGGTTGAAGTCCGTCAACGCGTTGGAGATCAAATTACGCAGAAAGCAAAGAAGGATTCCTTTTAGATCACTTCCATGCGTTGAAGTGTCGTGCGACCAACAAGGAGAGCATCACTAGCACCTACTGCAATGCTTCGTATGGAGCTATAGATCGTGATCTATAAGCACCTTTCCCATGGCATGCCCTTGCTCAAGATACGAAAATGCTTCATTCGCCTTACTCAGAGGAAACGTCCGATCAATGACAGATCGAAGGGTGCCATCTTCCATAAGGTCCAATACGGCTTGTAGTTGCTCACCATTTGGATTCACCATAACCAGGTCATACCTAGGAACGTGTCCTGGTAATATCATATTGCGAACTTTGGAATACATATAATTCACGATGGATTGAATGCCGTTGGCGCGTTCGCTTCCACCATGCATCATCCAGTCAGACGATAATACGTTGAGGTAGTGACCGCGTTTCTTAAGCACGCCCTTAGTCAGTGTTCTCTCCTCGTAAGCCCAACTCATGGTATCCAATACTGCATCGTAGCCCTGAACGACGTCTTCAAAGTTATCGACTCGATAGTCAATCACTTCATCGGCCCCAAGCTCTTTCAAAAGGTCAGCTTTCCCTGCGGATGCAGTAGTGGCGATTCGCTCCATCTTTAGTACATTCCTAGCATACTGTATTGCGAATGATCCCACACCCCCGGCTCCAGCCTGAATCAAAATTGATTTTCTATGTTTCGGATCCAAATTCGACAGAGCTTGAACAGCGGTCAGTGCCACAAGCGGCAAGGCGGCTGCCTGTTCCAAAGTCGTGTTGTGATCACCCACTTTGGCCACGAGTGACGCATCGACGGCAGCATATTCGGCCAGTGCACCCCAACGAGCACCCAAAATAGGCATCATGGCAGCCACACGGTCACCCACCTCGAGGTTCGAACGATGCTCGTTGTTACTTCTGTCCACACCAACCTTCGAACCCACCTGTACAATAACACCACTCAAGTCTTCTCCAGGAATTTTAGGTTTCGGAAGAAGAAAGTTGGGAGTCCAATTGCGTCGGAATTTGAAGTCACAAGGGTTGAGAGCTGAATACTTGACCTTGATGAGGACTTGATGCGGTCGAATGACGGGTATAGGGTGATCTTCGACAAAGCGCAGGTCGGAACCAGCTTTGGAATAGACGATAGCCTTCATGGTTTGGCCATTGAGTGATGGCTTTGCTGGCCAAACATCAATCGAAGTCGGAATGTTTTCTTGTATTACATGAAAGAAGAATGCAATGATGAAGACGATAGCGATCATTTGAGTTGATTTGTCATGATCAGGCATGGTCAAGTGTTGTGTGTCGGTGATCGTCGCACGTGTATTTCTCTCAATTATTATGAAGAGCTTGGTGGAAAAACGTTGAAAATAATGGCAATTAACGCAGATTATTTCTTCCATGTACAGAAAAGCGCTGAAACGGTAGAATTCCGTTTCTTTATATGCAGAAACTTGCCGAAACCGTCAAGTTCCGTTGCAAATGGTACAGTACCTGCCACATTAGTGATCACAAACCAACTCAGAGGCAACTAAACTATCTCTCCCTCACGCCAGGTAGCGACAGATTCTTATTAGCATCGTGAGCCCGTCGAAGAAATTGACGTCGATTTGGAATCCAAGCACAGGTTTGTACCCATTTGCTTTCGAACGTTTCCCAAGTCTCGCCTTCAGTCAACAATTCAAGGTCAGGTGCTCCAGGAGCATTATTGATCTCGCAAAAGTAGTCGACCAGCGGTTCCAACACCCTCACGGACCGAGGTACTTGCTCCAAAGCTTCCTCTAGAACTTCCTTGGGGACGATGCGTCCAGTAGTCATGGCACGTGCCGCCGCACGTTGAAATACAGCTTCTCGCGGAGCTGTCACATGCATAATGGCTTGACGGTTGTTGGGAAACTCTAGCCGCAGTCGACGAAGGTATTCTTTATACCAATCTGCATCGCGGAGTGAACCATCCACCAAAACATTCTTTCCCGAGCGAAGACCCGCAAGTGTCAGGATTTCGGCAATCAAGCCCGCCTCCTTGCGTGTCAATTCACCAGCTAGCTCAGGATTCTGTTCCACGTAAATGTGGAATTCAGGCAAATGCCGACGAATCTCGTCAGGGTCAACCAACACGAACGCCAACAATGGGAATCTACCTTTTTCCACTAGCAGATTCATAGTGTAGGACTTTCCAGCTCCCATTGCTCCGGCTGTGAACACCAACCATGGCTCGGTGGGAGTCGTACATACATTGCCATTCTTGTCGGTGATTACAGCTGAGTTCAGCATGTCGGTGAGAATCTTGTCCTGAAGAGATTGTCGCTTCTTCTCGTAGTGCTCGTGGTAGCTGTAGTCCAGCGTCGATCGAATATCGGCAAACGGCCCGTAGAAACCCTGCTCATCCGCAGGTGCCTTGTAGTTTTCTTCCGACGACATCCCAGCTGCAAAAAGAGTCTTCTTCCATAGTGTGGAAGTCATATGGCGAAAAATCGCTTGGATCGCTTCTTGCACCTTTTCGGGCGGTCTCTTGTCGGCATCGACGATGACTGCACACGTTTGCTGAAATGTCTGAGAAAAGTGATCCCAGGTATCACCAATGATCTTGATTCCGTCGCGACCATTGTGCAGTTCGCACAAGTAATTGACCTCTGGTCGGAGGCGTTCTATTGAAAGGGGTATTTGAGCCAAGATCTTGTCGATCCTCTCAATGGAAATATGACGATGGGTCCACATCTCCACATCCTGATGGTGTATTTTGTTCCGTTGTTTGATAGTCATAATGACAATCGACGTGGAGTCGCAAGCGCAAAATTGTGAGAGACCAAACGTGACCAAGACAACGTACGTTCGGAAATCAACCACAATGACGAACCACGACAGAATGGTTGAATCACCATGTGTCGTGTACCGTACTTCGCTTTCCACACGGCAAATTTTCGGAAAATTAAATAAAAACAGAACGAATGCAAAAAGTACTTACAGTGGCACGATGAAGAATCAATTCACGAGGCGCTGTAATGTGCAAAAGTGCAAGACGCATCTTGGGATACTTGTCACGCAGTTCTTGATAGAATCCGGCATACCAATCGGCATCATGGAGACTCCCATCCAACACGACATTTTTTCCCTTCTCCAGAGCGACACGAACTAAAATCTCCATCACATGTCCTGCCTCCTTCCCCGTCAATCGGTCCACCCGATCTGGACTCTTGAGCACGTAGGACGCAAACTCGGGAAGACGACGACGAATCTCTTGCGGATCGACATGCACAAAGCTCAATAGAGGAAGCTTTCCTTCCTCCAGCAATTTCATAATTGTGTGACGCTTCCCCGCCCCTGGAGCTCCGACGGTATAGATGAACCATGGTTCTTGTGGCGTCGTCATGGCATCGTTGCCATTTACGAGATTCTCCATGAATGTATCAATGATGGAATCTTGAAGCCATTGTCGCTGTTTCCGATAATGCGTATGATACGTGTAATCCAAGGTCTTTCGGATATGAGCGTAGGGTCCATGGAACTGTTGGTCGGCATCGGTGGCAGCCTTGTTGATATCGTCGGTCGACTGTTCGATGCTGAAACGTCGAGTATAACATTTACGAAACATACATTTTCGTTTGTTGTAGCCGATGAGCCTTGCAATTTCGCCGGTAGAATGTGCGTGTTTGAGTTCCTTCTCGGAGTGACTGTCGTTGGCAATCTTGGCTGTTGTCATGTTTGCATACTACGATTAGATCTATACAGTACATGCACTCCGAGCTCTGAGTGTTGTCTTGTTTTCACTCTCCTTCCTGATCGGTGATGGTAGACGGCAGACACAAAAAAATCTACTCTAGAGGACAAGAGTAGTGTAGTGTGTAGTAGTAGGATGAAGATTTCTACTCGAGCCGTCCACAAGGCGCAAACCTATGCATTATATCATACATGCAAGGGTGTACGATGAGTGGGAACACGTTTGAAGTCACGAAATGAGGAGTATGTCGTATGTATGTCGTATGCGTACGCTCAGAGAAGCGAATTCACGTTAACTGAAGTCTGGTACGAATATATAGAAAATACTAGTGGGTACTCACATTTGATCAGTGTCTACTACGGACGTCAGTATGTCGTACTGGTCGTATGTACTGTAGACCTGTAGTACATGTAATCCACGTAACAGTACAACAGTATCGTGGTCAACTCCGAACAGACGCACACACGCACGCACAATTAATAATATAGTAGGATAGTAGTTGCAGCACCAAATTTTAGTGTTGGGAGTTGGGAGCACTTACTGTCGTACTAGTACGGAGTACTTGCTAGCAACCAGTAATGTCCGCTCCTCTTCAGAAATCGCTTTGTTCTTGTCGAACTTGTCACGGGTCAGCAGTGAGCACACAACAAGAACGGAAGATAGTGCTATACAATACATAAAACTACTATGATACTTATAAAAACAAATTACGGCAAACACAGTATTGTGGTCGTAGTTCACTGCATCGTGAGGGTCTTGGAGTAAGTCTGGAGTGTTTTCGCCATGGGTACAGCCTCCCTCTCAATGACCTTAACATAGCCATCAACTTCCCGTCTAGCGGCAATGTACGACTGTTCTTTCGGACACACTCGTCGGTATCCCCGGTGGACTTGTGCTCCCATATGAATGTTCGCAGCCGAAGGTCTGTGTTTGATTATTTCAGCCACTCCCAACAAAATGACTGCCAGGTACTTGTCGCCTCGATCACAGTGCTCGAGACCTTGCTTGTGCATAGTCTCGGCCATTCTGCTCGTAATCAGTCGGAGGAACGCTTCTGGAAGGAATGTGCC